GGGGGGGGGGGGGGGGGGGGGGGGGGGGGGGGGGGGGGGATGTAGGCCCCCCGCTGAGCAGAGAGCCCGATGTGGGGCTTGATCCCAGGACCCCGAGATCATGACCTGAGCTGAAGGCAGAGGGTTAACCCACTGAGCCACCCAGACGCCCCTGGCTAACTTATTTCTGATAAAAATTATTAAAACTAAGTATTGGTAATGAAGTTTGAAAAAAAAATCCAGCAGGCATTACTCTGTTGATCTTACAAAATTTAATAAACTTGACTGAACACCACCCCAGTATGCCCTCAAGAATGAGTCCGTAGAACTGAACTAGGGATTTTTGCTACCCGTCCTCACTCCTCTGCGGCCCCCCCATGATGACTAATTCTGTGTGGTTTGAGTTGATTTGTTTCTTTTTATTATTTTGCCAAATTTTAAAAATATTTTGCCAATTTTAATAATATTTTGTTTTTTTTTTTTTACCTTTTCAGTCTCGGAGAAATCTCTGTGAAGAGGCTTTGTTAAAAATTAAAGGTGTTATTAGCTTTACTTTTCAAATGGCTGTTCAAAGATGTGTGGTGCGGATCCGTTCAGATTTGAAAGCTGAGGTTAGTATTTTAAATGGCTGAATATCCTTGAGGTTATAAGTAAACAAATCATTGTTCAAAATTGTTCCTTTTAATCCTGGCCTAGGCTTTGGCGTCAGCAATAGCATCGACCAAGGTTATGAAGGCTCAGCAAGTTGTGAAAAGTGAAAGTGGTGAAGAGGTAAATACTTTTAGTTTTCTTTATACCTAACTGACTCCTAGTTATTCTTTATGGCTAGCAGATTGTTAGTATTTTCAGGCTGTAGTTGCCAAATATACAGGAGTGTGATTGGGTCAGATTATCTTAATGTTTCTTGGCTAACAGTTAACCCTTTTAGAAATAGAAGTCTTTTGTGGATTTCAAAGTCTGTTTCTATATTTTGTGGGTTTCAGAGTGTCTTTATATCAGTGGAGACATTGTCCTAATTTTATATGGAAGTAAAGGTTATCTAGTTTCCTTACATTGGTTTTTTTTTTTGTTTTTTTTTTTTTAAAGATTCCATCCATCTATTTGACAGAGATCACAAGCAGGCAGAGAAGCAGGCAGAGAGAGAGGAGGAAGCAGGCCCCCTGCTGAGCAGAGAGCCCAATGCAGGGCTGGATCCCAGGACCCTGGGATCATGACCCGAGCCGAAGGCAGAGGCTTTAACCCACTGAGCCACCCAGGCGCCCCCTTACATTGGTTTTTATTTTTTATTTTTATTTTTTTTAATATTTTTTTTTTTTTAAGATTTTATTTGTCAGAGAGAGAGGGAGAGAGAGCGAGCACAGGCAGACAGAATGGCAGGCAGAGGCAGAGGGAGAAGCAGGCTCCCTGCCGAGCAAGGAGCCCAATGTGGGACTTGATCCCAGGACGCTGGGATCATGACCTGAGCCGAAGGCAGCTGCTTAACCAACTGAGCCACCCAGGCGTCCCTATTTTTTATTTTTATTAGTATTTTTAAAAAAGATTTTATTTATTTATTTGACAGACAGAGATCACAAGAAGGCAGAGAGGCAGGCAGAGAGGGAGGGGGAAGCAGGCTCCCCGCCTAGCAGAGAGCCTGATGCGGGGTTCTGCGATCATGACCTGAGCACCTGAGCACCTGAAGGCAGAGGCTTAACCCACTGAGCCACCCCCGGGCCCCTTACATTGTTTGTTTTTGTTTTTGTTTATTTTTCTTACATTGGTTTTTAAATACTGTCTTTCTAACCTTAGTTTTGCTAATGTAAAAAATAAAGTAAGTAAAAGTAATGTAAAAAATAATGTAAGAAATAAAGGTCACCATGGTTAGGTAAATATAGTGAAAATCTTAGCCTCTTGCTACTTTTGCCACTAGGGAAAACAAATCTGCATTTCTTTAGGGTATTTGTCTTCCCATAGAAAGGAGATTTAGTGGTCCTTCAGGGGCCCTAGGTAGCCAGATAACTTGCTTTTGTTTTCTTTAAATAGACAAGAATTGCACGTTTATTCCTGGAGCCTCAGGAGAAAAGCATCTTAATTTTCATGTATATTTCTGCCTTTCTGTGCTCAGCATTTGGGCCTACCTTTATGTAAGAGGAAGATTTAAAGGAATATAACCCCTGAGAATAAACACGGTGATTGGAATGAGGAGTAAAGTTGACCTTTAACTTAAGACGTATATATCTTTGTCAGTTAGGATGATTTTGTAGTAACTCTTAACATGTCTCTGTATCAGATGCTGGTCCCATTCCAAGATACGCCTGTAGAAGTTGAACAGAACACAGAACTGCCTGACTACCTGCCTGAGGATGAGAGTCCCACAAAGGAACAAGACAAAGCAGTGTCCCGGGTCGGCTCACACCCAGAGGGTGGAGCCAGCTGGCTCAGCACAGCTGCAAACTTTTTATCCAGATCATTTTACTGGTGACTTCACTTTGGGTCTCAAGGACTGTGTGAACCAACATGGGGCCAGTTTTCCATTGTTGTGGTGAACTGTCAAGTGCAATTTGCAATAAGTTATCATGAAAAGTTTTTAGATTACATGATTGCGTATGCTGCATTTTACATTTTATTGGACATTTTGCCCCACTCAGTGGTAAAAAGGACAGAGTCTACAGGTGGATATCTTTGTTGATGAAGGTATTTTGGTTTTGTTTTCCTTTATTTGCCTCACTTTAAAAAAAAAAATGGGTCCACTGTTAAACCAAACATATATATGTGTGCAGCTTTACATTTTATTTTACGTGAAGCACATGATTAGGAAAACTCATTTTCTCCTCAAGCCTCAGGACCTATCTGAAGAAAAGTTTATTATTATTTTTTTTTTTTTGTAGCTCAAGTTATGCATGAATTACTGAACATTTTTCTCTGCTTTTCTTCATGAAAGATACTTGCTTTGGTATTCTTCACTGAAATTGAAAAACTTCCTCATTATCCCCCTTTTGTGCCTTTTTTATTTTGCCAACCATGTTTATAGGAAGAACATTACTATAGAGACATTTTGTGAATTAAAATATATCCATGTGAACATAGTAGTCCCCTAAAACCACAAGTCTACAAAAACTTTGCAATCTTACTTGTTGTAATTTTAATAAGATCAACACAAAATCCGCCGAGAAGAAGGAAATGTGTATGTTAGCAAAGTACTCTTGGAAACTATTTGAATATGATCAGCTGTGGTTCCAGTTGACTATTGTTCAGTTTGGTTTATATCAGCTCTTAAGAGTTCCGTCCAGCATAATACTGGAAGCAGCTGTAGATGGTCTCTAGGCCTTACTTTGTGGTCATATACTGTCCCTTGCTAGGTTAAAAAATAGTAAAGAACTGACAAACTTGAAAAAAGAAAACAACAATTGAATGCCTATAATGCCATAGTGCCATTTGGTAGAGTCTAACCTTAAAACATGAATTGCTTGGCATCTGCCTATTCAGTAGGCATTTCCTTGTATTGCCTTTTGTGAATTTATTACGAACATGCAGTCGTACTGAATGAAAAAAAGAAAGACTCAAATTATTGCTTATAAAGAAATAAAGCCAGCATTGGTACACTTAATCTTGTTCTCATGTCCAGCCAGAAAAAAAGAACTTCAGTGAAGGTAAGATAAATATAAATATACATACATATATATTTTTTTGGTGGATAAGAGCTAATTACATATATGTAATGCTTTATTAAATTTCTGAAATATTTGGCAACTAAAATTTTCAAAATCCAACTAAATCCAGATAAATTTTAGTGCTAATCTGATTAAGAAACTAATATGGAGAATCTGACATTCTTTTTCATCAACATTTAGAGCTGCTATTTTATTGCTTGTGGAGAATGTGAAGTGAATATTGGACCCTGGAGGGTTTCCTTGCATTTTCATCGCTTCTCTTTTAGAGAAAATTAAAAGCATCCAGTGTCACTGGAAAAAAAAAAAAAAATTATTGTAAAATACTTCACCAACAAGAAGCTTGAGTTCCTGACCTTCTGGAGGAAGGGGTAGTGAGGGGATTGGGAATGCTAGTTTTCACGTGTCTGGGCTCTGATTCAGATGACACGCACAACTGAAAGTAGAAGCTTTCCAGGAATGTATTGCTTTAAATGTGTAATCCAACTTGCTGCCAGAACCAGACGTTTTGAAAATGGAAACAAAACCACCTCCTTTCGATAGCCATTAAAACAAAGTTTACTGTTTAACAAGTTTGTATTTGATTTTGCATCGCCACACATCTGCCTATTTAAAAAACAACATCTCTTTGGTAGTAATGGTTCAGTACAAGTAGGTATTACAGCTTGATGTTTGTGTGTTCTAATTCTAAGTGTTCTTTTATTTCAGGTCTTATAGAGCAGTTAAGGCAACTGTAACAGCATTTTTTGAAATATATTGTAAAATAATAAAAGGTAACATAATTAAAATTGAATGGATATTGCATTTTTGTGGTATAAGCATTATTGATTACTCCTGAGCCTGTTTGTATCCACAGTGCCTGGCACCTTCTCCCGGCTCCCTGCAGGTGCCTTACCCAGCTCATTCCCATGCATCTTCCCTTCATTTCCTTCCCGCACCACACCTGCCTCTCCCTGGGTTTGGATCAGCTTCTCCGGTACATATACTCATTGTAGCATGTATCATATTAGATTGAAATTAGATTTACCAGCGTTCGTTCCCTCCTGGCTTAGCTCTCTGAGAACCGAGAGAGTCTGTAGCTGTTAACTGGCTAGTAGTAACTGAACAAATACTTTTTTAGGAGGATGAACAAAGAATTTTTCTTGGATCAGTAAAAATAAATGACAGGTACTTGTTAACTTGTTGGGCGACTAGGGAAAATGTCTGGTTGTATTATTTTAATTTTTTCTGGCATGTTTGTTTCTGACTTACTGGTATTTAGCAAGTTTCTTCATTTGCTTTGTCGTTTGGTTTTTATTTTTCAGAAAAGTGGGAGAGGAGCATAATACTTGCTCTGTTGAATGAAGTTAAGGTTCGCTTATAATATCGTGATTCTTATAGAATTGTTATAGGAGAATTTTATTTATTTATTGTTTCAATGTCCTGTTTTATAACTTACTAGCTATTTAATTTTAGGTAATAATGTAGTCTCTGAGGTTTTTCTTCATTAATGGGATGGAGATAATTCTTCTACTTTATGGGATCATTATTTGAATCCGATGAGATCATCACAAGTAACTTGAAACTAAAATCTTCTAAGTTTAAGATGGAATTACTCTTACTGGAAGTTTGACACGATTCTATTCTTGTGCTCGATTCCAAGTGAGACACTATACCTTTGTAAACACACATTATCTGGCTCCTCAACTTTCTCTATCCAGTTGAGGGTATTTTTTTGAGGGTTAGTTCACAGGTATTTGATTTTTATCTGAATGTCCCTTGACAAATTCATCTATTGTCAGGATTTCAGTTACCCTTGTGTCAATAATTTCTAAATCTCCACGTACTGTCATCTTTGATAGATCCCCTTCCCTTCACCATACCTATCAGATACAAAGTCTGTGAATCTTTCTCTTAGAACCAAGCTCATGGTTGGCATGCAGTGGACTTGAAAACTAAATCTGTCAGCACCATGCTAAGTCCTTTACAAATATTTAGTCCTTTAACCCTTAACAACCATAGGTAGGTACTTTTGTGTCTGTATTTTACAGATGGGGAAAATGAGGCAGAGAAATAGTAAGTAGCTCGTTAGTCCCAGGTGACAGAGCTAATAAATGGTGAAGCCAGCACTCCAACCCAGGCAGTCTGGCTCCCAAGTCTCCAAGGAGGCCTGTGTCTTAGGTCCTGCTGCTGTGCCTTTCTGGTTCTACTACCACCATTCCTATCCAGACCCTCGTGCCTGAATCTTGTCAAGTGACGTAACTCAGGGGTCTCTTAGCAATCAGAAACTGTCTGGACACCAAAAAAGTCTGGTGTATGAGAGAAATGAGTCTAGTTAGGCCACAACAAAGGAAAACACATAGAGCCGCTGGCCTGTTAAAAGAGGGAAACCCACGTTTGCTGCTTGTATTGTGGACTTTCAACAATGTGGAGCTTCTGGACGTTGCGGCTGTTCCAGACCCTTAAAATACTACCTGTGCCACAGACAACACCTCTGGGCCAGAAATTGGCTACTTTAATTTCTAGGGTGGCTACATTCTAATCTATCAGATTAAATTTTTTTTTTTTTTTAAACTCTCAGATTAATCTTAACAGTATTTTTGTCATTTTCTGCTGTGATGTCAGTAAAGGACTCTGGCTAGTTTGACTGCTTTGTCTAGCACCAAAAATGTCATGAGAGTTTAGCTTCCAATGAAGTCCTTCATATATTCTATAGTATAATTACAGACTTTCTCTATGGGAGGCACGGTTGTTTATCTGTTAGGAAATGTCTGCTTTATTTAGTCTTGTCAATTTTTTATAACTGAAATATTTTGTATTCATCCTACACTCTAGATCTTTGCTCATACTCTTCTGATTTGGAATTTCCTCCTTTGTACTATTTCTCTTTTAAAAGGCTTCATTATGGGGCACCTGGTGGCTCAGTGGGTTAAGCCTCTGCCTTCGGCTCAGGTCATGATCCCAGGGTCCTGGGATCCAGCCCTGCATTGGGTTCCCAGCTCAGCAGAGAGCTTCCTCCTCCCCCTGCTCTTGTGCTCTTGATTGGTGTGCGCTCTCTCTCTCTCTCTCTCAAATGAATAAGGATCTTTTTTTAAAAAATTTTTAAGTAAAAAAAATGAAATATTTTATTACGGGGGTACCTGGGTGGCCCAATGGTTAAACCTCTGCCTTTGGCTCAGGTCATGATCCCAGCGTCCTGGAATCAAGTCTTGCACTGGGCTCCTTGCTGGGCAGGGAGCCTGCTTCTCCCTCTACTGCTGCCACCGCCCTTGCTCGTGTTCTCTCTTCCTCTGTCAAATAAATAAGATCCTTTAAAAAAATACCTTATTATGAAAATAAGCTCAGTATATTATAGAGGTGAATAAATAAACAAGTCCTCTGTTATCCTACAACATAAACAATATCAGTAACTAAACATTTTGATTTATTCTCATTTGTTTTAATTTGTTTCAGTTGGTAAGAAGTGTACATTTAAATTTTCTTTTCCTTTTCCTTTTTTTTTTTTTTTTTTTAAAGTAAGCTCTACACTCAGCATGGGGCTTAAACTCACAACTCTTGAGATCAAGAGTCACAGATTCTACTGACTGAACCAGCCAGGTACCCCTACACTTTAAATTTTTTAAGTGTTCAAAATAAGTATACAGTGAAAAGTGACTTTATCTTTGAACTACCAAACCTGGTTTTCCTAACCAGGGATAGCCATTGTTACTAATTTTGTGTGCCCATCAAGAATATTCTATAAATTTACCAACTTTTTCAAATTTTCTCCCCATATATGGGAATAAAATGCCTGGCACCTTAATTTTTTCACTTAAAGTGTATTTTAGAAATTATTCTATATCCTTGTACAGAGCAGCTTCCCCCCACTAAGCTTCACAGTATTATATTAATGTTCCACCATTTATTTAGCCAGTGTTTTGACTGTAGTCATTTGCTATTACAAATAGTGCTATTAGTATGTCTGTAGAGTAGATTTCTAGATGTAGAATTGGTACATCAGAGCCTGTGAGAGCTTTTAATTTTGATAGATTCTGCCTCCTTAGTATATCTTGTTTCTTCTCTCACCAGAATGATGTGAGAGTTCCTGTTTCCATTCAGCCTCTCCAACTGTTATTATCCCATATTTAGCCCTTAGTGATCTTTAAAAAAATATATATCCTCTGAATGAGGGTTAGCTCTTCTATATATTTAAGAGCTGTTTTTTCCCCCTATGAATTTTTCTTCTCTTTTC